CATTGAATATCACGTTGTTGTACTATGCATAAAAATACATTCTATCCCATTATGAACAGAATGCTTCACAAGGCATTAGGCACTAGCTATTTATACTAAAGAACATACAAATGTTTAATGAAGATCATCAGTTATTTCATACATGTAGGTTCATTCTCTCTTGATAAACTGTAAAGTATGTTAGTTAGACTACTTATTCTGCATTGAACTTATGTGAAAATTGAACTTTCTAATTAATGTTAATAATTGATAATCGAAATCATTTTCGACTTTTTCACGTCAATCCGAAACCTAATTTAATCTAACTAGCATTATTGAAAAGACAACTAGTTTATTATTAAATTAAATTATCTAAAAAAACGTTGATTATTACTTTACATGACAAATTTCATGCATAATATATCATGAAACGAAGACAAGAAATGTACTAACAATACTTAGATTTCAAGTATGAATTCGAACATTTCACAATGATTAGTACTAATTGTTGTTTGTCATAGGCGTATTAGAACACAGGATCTCTGTGCCTCATAGCGAGTGTTTGACTTCTAGATTTCTCAGCCTGCATCCAATAGCTTACAAGTTTTATTTCAATCAGCTTTAAATGTTGTGCAACTGTCTTCTATTGTCATTAGTGGCTAATTGCTTCACACTAGACATGAAATCCACTAGTCATTGCTTCTGACCAAAAATCCAGTAAATCGCCATCGAAATTAGCCAATGGTCATCACATAATTACTATCACTTAATGGTTTAAAGTTCAAGCGTTCGTGCATAGGACCGACATTCCCAGGCTCGATTCCCGAAGGAGTTGTAGATGTGGACTCCTGAAGAGCCCCAGATTAGAACAAATCAGCCGTCTGGTGTTTCCTAATCATCAACGATTGTCTAACACTTATCGGTAAGTGATTTTATTTATAAAATTAGTTTTCAGCTATCGCTAATGTTCGTTATCAACTCCCCATGTAGCTCTCCTACAGTCGCTGCTGGTCACAAGCTTAGTTAAATGAGGAAGGTAGAATATGGAGTCGGCAACCCCATCCCGTAGAAAATAACCTTGATAAAAAAATGCTAACCAGAATTAATAATTAAAACCATTTAAACTCTGTCCATCGAGTTGAAGGAAGAATTATGATGCCTCATGGTGAAAGCTGATATTCTTTGAGAGTCATGAAGAAGATGCTCCTTCTAACAACCAGAGCGGCAATAATTACAGGTACATGGGATGCTTAAACAATGTAGGTGGTCGAGAGGATCAGTCAAACATCAACGGAAATGAAGAGATACAACTTGGCGATTCTCGGAATCAGTGAAATCCATTAAACCCAAGTTAGACAGAAAAGAATATAGAGAGAGATGTTGCTGTACTCCGGCCGCGAAGAGGAAATTGTTCCACACACTCAGGGAGTTGCACTGATGCTGTCCAATAAAGTACGTAAAGCACTTATAGGATGGGAATCTCATGGACCCAGGATAATCAAAACGTCCTTTAAAACAAAAAAGAGGGGATCAGACTGAACGTTATCCAGTACTATGTGGCAACGAACGATAGCAATGATGACGATAAAGATCAGTTTCACAAGAGGCTTCAATCGATAATAGCGAAGTGCTCAGAAAAGAACCTGACAATCATGATAGGAGATCTTAACGACAAAGTCCAAATGGACAACATTGGGCATGAAGATATCATGAGATGAATTAGACTGGAAGAAAGTGACGAGTATGATGAGATATTGGCAAATCTATATGCTTTCAACAAAATTATTATAAGCGGCCCAATTTTCCCTTAAAAACGAAAGCATATATCTAAATAGGTCTCACCGGACCGCACATCAGTTAATCATATCGATCATATTCGCATCACTAAGAAATTCAGAAGGTCAATGGATAATGTGAGAACCAAGACTGGAGCTGACATAGCTCCAGATCCTCACCTGGTGGTTGCCAGGATGAGACTGGGGAACTGGAGGAACAGCATTACAAGAGTTCAATACAGCCTTACTTCGACATACTGAAAAACTCAACCAATTTAAGTTAACTCTCAACAACGGGTTCCGAGCCTTACAGGATCTACTCACAGAAAGAAATTAATACGGAGGACAATTGAAAAGGGGTCAAAGAAGCACTAACTTCAACTTGTCAGAAAGTTCTGGGCCACAACAAGTATCATCATAAGTAATAGATCTCTATCAAAACCCCGTACAAGACTCGAGAAAGGAAGAACAAGAAGACAGCAATCGATAACAGTTGAACAAGAACAGAGAATGCCAACACACAGTCCGAACACACAGAAACAAACAAGCAAGTGAAGAGGATCATTAGTGACGACAAGCAGAACAACAACAGCTGCAGCTGAAGCTGAAGAACAACAGCGGAAAAAACTTCATGAGGAGGAAATATGAGATAGTTGTATGACACGGCGAAGAAACTAGTAAAGAAATACAGTAAACCAGAGGGAAAAGTGATGGACAAGGAAGAAAGCCAATCACTGAGATTCAAAAACGGAGGAAAAGATGGGTAGAACACTTCGAGGGACTCTAATAGGCCATCTCTACTGAATCTACCAGACATCGAAGCAGAACCTACAGACCTTCCTTCAGATGTCATTCCACCAACGATTGAAGAAGTCAGTATGATCATCAGACAAATCAGTAATGGGAAAGTAAAAGCAGCACCAGAAAACATACTAGCTGAAACCCTCAGACACAGAAGTAACTGCAAACATGCTCCTCGTTCTGTTCAGAGAGATTTGGAAGGAAGAACATGTGCCACCGGCAGACTGCAAAGAAGGATATCTCATCAAGATACCAAACAAAGGAAATATGAGAAAATGTGAAAACTCAGCTACAGAGGCATCACACTACTATGAGTAAAAGAAAAAGTTTTCAACAGATTGTTGCTGAACCGGATGAAAGATTCAGTAGATTCTCAGCTTTGAGATCAACAGACTGAATTCTGTAAGGACCAATCAAGCACAGATCAAATCACGACACTTCAGATCATTGTTGAACGATCGATTGAATGGAACTTATCATTATGCATCAACTTCCTTAATTATGGAAAAGCGTTTGTCAGTGTGGATAGGAGAACATTAAGAAACCTACTTCAAAACTATACTATAACCAAGAAGATCGTCAACATCATATGGAATTTATACGACGGACTATAGTGCAAAGTTGTGCATGGAGGACAACTGACAGGCGCATTTCCAGTAAGAACTGGAGTCAAACAAGACTGCCTATTCTCACCCTTTCTCTTTCTTCCGATGGTGAACTGAATTATGATGACCTAGGCATGTGAGGGAAGGCACTGAATACAATGGATAATTTGAGACCAATTAGAGGATTTGGACTTCGCCTTGGCCCTTCTATACCATACAAACGAACGAATGCAGATGAAGAAAACTAGTGTAGCAGCAACCTTTGGATCAGTGAACCTCAACATACACAAAGGAAAAAGCAAGACCATCAAATACGACACGGATAACATCAACCCAATATCACTTGGAAAAACTCTGGAAGAGGTGGAATTATCCACATACCTGAACAGTATCATCGATGAATAAAGAGGATCCAATGCAGATGTAAAGGCGAGGATTGGCAAAGTAAGGACGGCATTCCCCCAATTGAAGAACATATGAAACTCAAAACAGTCAAGTAATATCAAAGTCACAATCTTTAATACGGACATCAAGATAGTTCTACTCTATGCAGCTGAAAATTGTATAACTACCATAAACATCACCAAACATGTACAAGTGTTTACAAACAACTGTCTACGATGTATGCTCAATGTCCGTTGACCGGATACCATGAGCAACAGCCTACTGTGGGAGAGAACAAACCGGCTTCCATCTGAAGAGGAAATCAGGAAAAGACGTTGGAAGTAAATTGGACATGCACTGAAGAAATCACTAATCTGCATCACGAGACAAGCCCTGACTTGAAGTACCGAAGGGAAACGGAGGAGAGAAAGGCTGAATAACAGACTGCATCGGGAATTGAAAGCAGGAATGAAAAGTATGAATAGCAACTGGAAAGTATTACCCAGGCCAGAGTCGGATGGAGAATGCTGGTGGGCAGCCTATTCTACTCCATGATGGATGATAGGTGTTAGTAGTGATGTTCGTTATTAAATCTGAAATCGTCATTCAATTTATTATTTAACTGATTGTGTTATCACGGGCCTAATACTTGATTTAGGTTCACTGACTGTTCAAATATATATTTTAAATGTATTGTCTTCTTTTAGAGAAAAGTTAGGCTAATTGGTACAGAAAGGACACCCAGTGGCCGTTCTTACAACAAGCATAGTAGGACTGTTGTCAGGTAGCTTATGACAGCCATCAATGCAACTTTTTAAGAGTAATACAAATATTGTTGTCCCATATAGTCATCTGATTAACAAACAGCATTTCATGAAATTTTGACGTTTTTTCTCTACTATATTATCGTTTTTGAACAAGGAATCAATGGTGGGGTTAAGATCATGTTCATTGAATAACTCTTAATAGGTGTCAGATACAATTTCAGAAATACCCCAAAACTCAGGATGGGTTGTTTTTAAGATTTTTTTTATTGCTCTATGTAGTCAGTTAAGCTGACGTCATAGAATAATAATGACGTGTCCTCTCTAGAATGTGATTCTTTTTTTCTGCAAGTTAAGGAAACGCTCGAAATTCTATTTAAATACTAAACAAGTTTTCTATTCTTGACACTTACTTTGATCATCAATATATTTTATCTATGGGCTAATCAACTTAACAATTTATCAACCATGAAACATAGACGACCGAACATAAAGAATTCATAGGATACGTTTCATAGTGAGGAATGTTGGCTAAAATGGCAATAATCTTAGAAAATTCAATTTTACGTTAGGATCGATATTTAGATATCTAGTATGGTATGGTATGCGAATAATAAGTCATTAGTCATCCAAACGAAATTCAAAGCATATAAACACACAAAGTTCTGGTCAGAACTGAAGCACTACCAACTACAAAACAGATAGATGAATTATATGTAAACTTACACCCATCATAAAAACTGCAAGTAATTAACACATAACAAAAATGATACACATATGATGTATAAATTTTACTTTAAGAATCTGAAATTGATTACAGAAGCACGTATCATTTGAAAAAACAAAAACCGCACACATATTAAACCAAATAAGCTTGTATGCATTTGACAAGCATCTTTTTTTCTAGAAAATACAAATAAACTATTCATTACTGTCGGGTTGTTTGTTTGTTTTCCTGTGTTATATAAACAGTGTCGTCATCATCACAGGAATTCATTGAAAGAAACGAAACATTTGAAATAAAGAAAGAAAAATTCAGGACAATCAACAAAAGTAGTAGTAGTAATGGGGATATGAAATTATTCGATGCAACCAGTTGACAAGATCTTATGAAAAATATGAATTAGATGACAATAATGATAGTAATAATAATAATACAAATAGTAATAATGATAATTTAAGGATTATACAGCAATTTGTGCGGTGAAGAGATAAAGGAACAATAATTCAATTCATGAATATAATTTAAAAAAATTGGTCATCATAATCATGTTAGTTATAACAATAATTTTATTTTTATTTTAGAGATCAAAGTTTACATTCAAAGCTTATTGAATAAGTAAAGTCACCAGGTAAAATATTTAAAAAAAATAACAAGAAATAGAACAGTATTTAGTAACTTAGGTTACATAATGTAAGAAAATTTGTGAAGGGGGGTGTTCTCTATTTGTTAGTTGTTTTTTTTTAAATTTTTGATATTACTTATTGTTCAGTCTTTTAAAACATCATTGATAATTAATTCTGCTCTTTGTAGAATTACAATGAGCACAATTATTGTTCATAATACGTAATAGTTCTTTTCTCTTTTATTAAAAAAAAAGAAGTTGATTTGGACAAATTAAGCAAAAACAAAGCCAAAGGAACTCAAAAGAAAGTTATCTGTTTCACAAGTTAAAAACTATACGTTCATGGTGTAAAATCATCGTCATCATCATCATCATCATCATCATCGTTAACATTAAACGAGTAATGAAAGATGAATAGTTAAATGATAAAGAATGAACAGCACACAAAATATAGATATTGATAAACACATAGTAATCATAACAACATAAGACAAAAAGGATCGTCATTGTGTTTGTATGACAACATTGATTTAAAATAATGAAAATAACCTGATAGATGAAAATTATATGCATGTTTCATACATTATATAATGAAGTGAAATTATACACATATGTTATAGCGTACATATATATGTTATATTTATATAAAATGGAAGGTGCATACACTAATTCCCTAGACTATAAACTCAATGAAGTGTCTATGATTTTTTTTCTTCAGTTTAACCAGTTATGTTCTGTAAACATATTCCCAAAACTCCTTTATGCATACATACCTTTGTCATTGTCACTTCGAGGATAAAGTAATGACTCAGAGGCTGGACCTTCATTATTCCCTTGTTTAGTGAATACAGTAAGATTACGATCTTCCAAAGCCGTAGTACGTTTGCCTACAACAATATTTCCAAATGCAAGATCACGTGCAACTTCATCAAATGTACGATTTTTAGTTTCTGGCATAAACAGGAAAAAGAAGATCCAGCAAATCACAACGACCACAAGGAAGGGCAAAAATGAATAACCACCGATGTTTTTCTGAATTTGTTAAACAGATAAAACAAAATGAAAAATATAAAAAAATATAATTTAAATACGAATAGAGAAAAAATTCATTATTATTGTATGACATCTTTGAAAAATGAATATAGTAATCTCACTGTGAGGTTAGTTCATCCAAGAGGTCGAATACACAGAACTTGGAGATGTGTGCTTAGATCTATCAGGATATCACTGAATGTTAACTGCCTTAATGAGAAGCATTTTAAATTTCTCCAGTTTTTTTCCAAGATTCCGTATTATGGTAACAATTTTTTTTGCAAATCAAAACAACTCAAATACTAGATAATTTGTTGAGGCACAAATTAGAATAATAATTGCCAATATTTATACCTGACAACTGTCCCTACAAACTTTGTAAAGAATGTAATAAACTGGTCTCTAGAAAATTACTAATGAAATTGTCACTAAAATCGGTGGTTGGCGTACATGTAAGGATAATGTCAGTTTATAAAAATTGGAGCATCCCTAAGTTGATACTTGGTGAGTATGAATTTGATAAGATGTACAACTTCCTTATTGACAACATTTCTATTTCAGTCAGTCAGTCACAACGTAGAAATTTGTACGTTGCCATACCACATTAGCACAGAGATGCAGTTGTCGATTCAAATTCCATAGTGGTAAAAATAGCAAGATTATAAGAAGTAATCTGAAAGATTAGGGTTTGAAGATGTTATTCAAGGAGTATAATCCAGTGAAAAAAAATTGAAAATAGAAAAAAGATAGAGACATGAAGAATTCAAAAGATTAGAATTCGGCAGAAAACAAAGAGTGACTTCACCTGCGCCATTGCAAACGATTTTGAGCCATGTCATTCAAGGTCACTAACCATCGGTTGCGATCATCTCGCGAATCCAAACTAGGTAATCTACACCTACCAGCATGGCTAAGTCCAATTGTCAGTGACTTCATTGATTTGTGCCACGTTTTGGTCTGGCCACCCTAGCTTTCTTCCAACCTACTTCTACACCATAAAACATGGCACGTCGGGGCAGCCGGTGGTTAGGCATACGTAACACGTGTCCCAGCCATCTCAACTGATAAAGTTTCACTACTTCATCAATCGATTTGCCACTCTTACCTAGTACTTGTTTCCTAATGACTGCATTACTTACTCGGGGGTCCCAGGATATACGAGCAATGATTCGAAGACACCCATGATCGAATAATAGTAGCCTACAAATATCTTGTACTCATATCGGCCATGTTTCACTGCCATTAAGTAGGACGGAACGAACCGCTGCGTAATAAACCCGTTCTTTGGTTACTATTTATGATCACTCAACATTTTGCGTAGTACATTATATATATATATATATATATATATATATATATATATATATATATATATCGAGTACTTGATCAAATTTATCTTTATCATAACAAACATAATTCACTTACCTGTATAACAGGATAACTACACAATACAATTAGATTGGATAACCATTGAATTGATTGACTCAGTGAATAAGCTGCAGCACGTGGACCTTGTCTAAATATTTCTGATACAATTAATGCAGGAACTGGACCCAAGCCAAGTGCAAAACTGCATATATAAATTAATATCAAAATGATCGATATTATACCCATAGCATTTTTCGTACTTTGCGGACCGGAATCTGCCAAATTAACAAATATCGTAAGTAATAACAAGGATAAAGCTAATGATACTGTAGGCCATAATAATAATGTACGACGTCCAGCACGTTCGATTAGTGGGAGAGAGACAATAGTTACGATAACATTAAGAACTCCAATAGCAAAGACACAATATTGTAAGTAAACATCAGGAATACCAGCTAATTCTAGCATAAGAGATGAGTATGTTATAACCTGTACGACAAACAAAAAAGGAAGAAAATACACAAAAATATATATATTCTGGTAAAATTAGATTAACTCAACAATATGGAGGCTAATAATTTAATCTATCAATCGGAATAAATGTAGAAAGATAATGATCTACAGGAAAAACGTAATATCCAATGTTTGGATGAATAATCTTTAGAATGAGAGCTTATGGTAAAACATAAACATTTAACTCAACCTATGAGTACACTATATCCAGTCTTATTAGTTGCAATCAATGTTATATGATGATTGTTTTTATGTATCAAAGGAAATTTACACTGTATAACACTTAATGATTCAAAGTGAGTCTTGATTGATTAAATTACAGCTCCTTTAGTTAACAACTTATTCAGATATTCAGCATAGAGTTACCGACCATATAAACTTTGAGGATAGAATATTAATCCATATGAATGTACAACTAAGTTTAAAGCGTCTCGGGGGAATGTTAAGTGAACTTTCAATATGACTTCAATACCTGGCAATAAGATTCTAACTAATGAGTTATTCACTCATCTACTCCAAGTTTGTAGGTTTATCTGCAATACATATACCTCTTCTCGAAAGTCAGTTATTGTAAATTGCTAAGCAAAAATAATGATTACAATATGAAGTTATAATTCTTTTATGGTCTTCACGTAAGTGATAACATCGCACCAGCCATCTACTATCCATTATCATAAAATATTTGAGGATTACATATAAATGTAAGCTATAATATAGTAGGTAGTATCAACTAATTTCCAACGCGTATTTTAATTTTTGAATCCATGTAACCAATTCAGAGTAATTTTCTATATAATTACTAAAACAACCAAACCAGTTAAACAACTGCTCTTCACGAAAATCTTATTTACTTGGTTTAATTTTGTAATACAGTTGTAATCTCTTCATATTCATAAGAAAAGGGATGAAATAGACGATTTATAATATCAGTAAGTGTGTCATGGAGTGAATAATTATCAACACTGTGATGGGATGACCAATTTATTGTCTTCCTAAATTATGAAATCATACATTATGTACTTTGTTTGCACATCTTCCATCAGCTATCCTCTACATCCTTCATGGTTCTTTCGACTTTCAGTTCCTTTCCATTTTCTTCAGTTCAATCTTCTCGATCTTCTTTTGACATGTATTCCACTTCCGATTGGTGTTACATACTACTTGCGTCTGTCATTATAAGTAGTATACACCACAACAATACAGAGGGAACAACAGAATAGTAGTTATCAGTCTTGTTATAACTGAAGTGAGATAAAAATGCGTTATGATCACTGAAATATCATTATGGTATCGAGCTACTGACTAGATTTGTAAGCACTATGCTGTACATAAAATCAGAGCAATAAACATAAAAAAACTCAGATTAAATAAACCATATTGAAGTAATACAATATAACTAACCGCATTAATTCCAGATAATTGTTGTAAAACTTGTATTAAACAAGCAATAAGCACTGGCATTCGAAGATCTCTTTGTGTAAATAATTGTGTAAATTTAAAAACTGGTTGATTTTTCGCTACTTCAATTTCCTCACGTAATTCACCAATAAATGTATCGACATTTTCTTTAACATTTAATTGCAAAAATGCTTTACGTGCCTCAGCTTCTTTATGTTTTTTCATGTATAAAAACCGTGGACTTTCAGGACAAAATGGTAAAGTAACCAATGATATAGCTGCTGGAACGGCACCCAAAGCAACAGCAAGTGGCCATAGATTTAGTGTATTCAACAGAAATGTAAATGTAATGAAATACGAGAAAGCAATACCAACAGTTACAGCTAACTGATGACAAGCACCAATACCACCACGTAGATCACGTGGTGCCACTTCAGTTAAATAAAGTGAAGCTATGCCAATTGTAATGCCGCTATTAATACCAATAACAAAACGACCAACATATAATAACGCAGGTTGTTTGACAAGAACACAAGGACCAACAATTACACCACCAATAATGCCAATAACATTATTGAGTATTAAACCATTCCGTCTATAATATTAGCAACAAAAAAAACAATAGAAGAAATTAGTTGAAATCGATCAATACTCTGTCATTCTCATGTAGCGAGAGTGAGAAAAAAGTTTTTTAAATTGAATAAAATAAATGGATATTTCACAATATCTGCGTAGATAGCAACAAAACTCAAGTATGTCAAATCAACATAATCCAATAATGCTGATATGGTTAAACTCATCAAGAATTCTTAAATGATGAAATAGAATTACTTTCATATTCAGAATATATGCTCCTAGTACTCCGGTGGATATTACTGATGTAGTAAACGAAAGCTCAGGTGCGGAAAACCAATTTATTTTTTAGTACATTACTTAGTTCTTCGATAAAATGTGAAAATCATACATTAAATACTTCATTTGCAAATCCTCCAACAATTGTCTAAAACTTTATTTTTTTCTTTATTGCTTTTGCATTTTCTCCCAATTCACATTCCTATTCTTTTCGATTCGATATTCTGAATCTTTGGCTGCCAGGCTTTCGTCATCTATTGGTGTTGCATGATAATGATGTTGATAGACATAAGTAACATACGCTACAATAGCATAATCTTGTAATTACTATCATAGAATATATTCCAGATAGTTGAAATTTTCTTTAAACAATATGACCATTCAGCTTTGTCAAATAAGTAATTATTAGTGCTAATATGAAATCAATCTAACAGGAGTTTACAGTGAGTAAAATATTTTGTTGGTATAACATTTACTAGCCTATAGCTCAGTTATAATAAGAAAAGAAAATCACTTGATCTATGTTTTCTGGTTTTCAATAACTGCTTAAGCAAGATCATGTTACGTAATATAATGTATGTAAAAGAAAACTTATAGAGTATTTTTGATAAATGTCTAAGGAGTCAGACATTCAAAATCCCATACTTTTATAAACTTGTCTTAAATAAGATAAAAGATATTTGTTTTTATTCACCATTCATCATATATTTGGCAGTCTGTTTAAACATCTGGGCTATCTGTTCCAGTCATCTATATATTTCAACAACTTATCTAATTTTGTTTGTTTTAATACATCATTATGGCTATTAATCTCACAACCTATTCAGATGCGTTTCTAAAAATTGTACAACCTTTCGCTATAAAGATTACAAAAGGCCTAGTCAAAGATATCGAGATTGCTTACAACATACACCGACTAGAATGTACGTTATTCAGATGTCGATTGACTGGACTGCTAACTTCTAACTGGAGATTACTCAATATTTATCGTCAGAATCAACGAAGTAAGAAACGGAAACTTGTTGAAATACTTTGCGCTGAGAATTCGATATTGCACCAAAAAAATAATATTGCATAAAGCTAATAATAATAATAATAACATGTCGAATCAGTAAATTAAAAATAATAAAGGATTGAAACGGAGAAACAATTTTTTGAGCTTATAAGGAAATGAAATACGGCATCATTAAACATCTCTTTACAAATCGATTAAAAAAAACATATCACTAGGGTCAGTTAACATAATTAATTGCAAAACATTTTAAATTATTGAATGGTTTAATTGACATTTAATTCACGTGTTTAACGATCATACATGGATAGTTAAACAGTCTGATTTATGCTAGTAAACAGTTTACAATTATATTATACTTATCTATGCAAAATACATGATTAGTTATATAGTTATTATGTTTTGGAGTAGCATTAATCAAAAAAGTTTTAAGGAAATAGAAATCATGTAAATTATATTGTTTTTTATATAATCTATCACTATTCATGTTGATAATCAATTTACATCAAGTAGTTAGTTATTCAGTAGATACAGAAGTAATGATGTAAGATTCTAAATGTTTTGAAACACTAAAACTAATGTTATTCTGAAGTCAAGAAATGACTATTTTGAAAAAAACATAATGAAAATCAGTTAGAAATGATGTGTTTTTTTCACTTACCGACCAAGTCCATCAGCAACCCAACCACAACTGAATGCTCCTATTGCAGCGGCAACTACAAATATTGTACTGACATGAGTGTAGAAGAAGCTTGAATCTAATTCTGGAGTATTTGGAACAACTGTCTCATTGAAATATATTTCAATATTCTATGAATTATTTAGTAAAAATTAAATATTAAGTATTCATGTCAGGTGAAAAGCTTATTGGAAAATGGTGTATTGCTAAAATATGAAAACTTTACCGAGCGAATAACTGTGATAACATATGGTTTAAATAACAAACAATATGAGTGACTGGGTCATCTACATACAGTTTAGTTTCACTATCCATAATATTATTAATTTAGGTACAAATTGTAGTCTCATGTGTATAACTTAAAAGTCAACTACTATTAGCTACAGTTATCACAACAAAGGGCAAGATAAGAAACTAAATTTTCATTGGAATATAGCATCAACATGAGATGCTAATGTACTTGATAATACTCTTGGGGCAGATGGATTCTCTACAATTAACTTAGTTTCTGAATTCCTCATAAACCATATCTTCTTTATCAATACTTTTACTATCGCTAGTATTGCGGGATTTATCCTGGCAAATATATCCCTCTGCGTTAAGAAGGTTATGGTAACTTGAACTAATATACACATGTGCCATGTACGTTGCGTCAAACTGATTAATTGAATGACTGACTGATGACGTAAAGCTTCCAAGATGAAGCTTACGGTACAATCCTATCTTACTTTAGAATGAATATAACTAAATACTAGACATATTAGTCTTAGAAATAACCATTTACTTACAACTCAACATATAAGTAAACTATGTTATCGTATCACGTCACACTTATTTACCAACAAGGTTACCTTATGCGGCTTTGAAGTGTCATCAAATTTAGTGGATTGCTGATATCAGTTCACAAAACTCAATCAGTTAGCGATCGTGTAACATTAAAAAGTGTTTATCAATCAGTTTGACTATATACATGTATATTTAATTATTTGTGACCAAGTTTGATAGAAATTGCCAGCATAAAAATTCTGGAGAAGCATTAGTCATTATAATTGTAACGAAGCGAGAACGTAATCATATGCTTGAGAACTATGTAGTATTCTATATTTTTGGTGCATAAAAATTCCAGTGTTTTAAATGTGGATGTAAGAGAGCCTTGGGTATTCCTGTATTTTGTGGCATGTTTGTTTCTGCGAAATAACACTAAGGAAAAGTAGATTCGAACTCCTACCCGATTGACTTTATGTTATCATACAACACTACACCTTCACGTAACTCAATTACATGACCATAAAAGTTCCAGTATTAATAGCACGGTCGACCTATCCCTTTCACTTTAATAGTGAAACTATGCAACTTATTTACAATTGAATAAAACACGTTCAACTTGCTGGTACGTATAAAATTACTAATCAGGTTACTCATATTACATAATTATATATATATATATCGTTAATAAATACTACTCACCCTTCTTGGTAGATTCAAAACTCCAAGATTGTATCCGATTAGAAATGATGATCCAACACATGTTATAAGTACAGTTAAAACAAGTTTCCCTGTGATACCGTTATTCTATAGAATAATGTTGTAAAAAATATGAAAATATGCTGAATGATAGTGTAATGTCCAACTGATTTCTTATTAAGGAACCAAATACATACGCTATGTAACTTTGAAAGGAATATACGATACATCAATTATAAATTTGTGTTGTGTCTGTATACTAAATCTTCATGTTATTGAATTGCTGAACAAATATTCTACAATTCTTGATTACACCCAAAATGATCATTTGGTGAACTCATAGTGATTTTATTACTAACTAATGCATCATTTATGATAAACTTCGAAGAAAAACTTTAAGAAACGGCTATTCGCTACATCTCAGTTTCCTAATACTGGTTCAATCAAAGAGAGAAACAACATCATCAAAAGGTTCAATCGATTTAAGTCTATGATGGAAACCATCGTGAAAATACAAGTTGATTTGTTGTTTTTCTGATATGAAATCGATAGGAAATATTTTTGGCTAACATCATTATCAATCATAAGATTATTGTAACTTTTTTTTATAATTATTATGTTCTATCCAATGATCCATACATAAGTAGGTTTTTCTAATGACCTAACATCGTTTTTCTATTATGCGTTCGCTTAATCACATTCTTCTATTTGATTTCAGGATATCTTTCGATAAAATCGTTTGTTAACACGAAAAAAGTTCATTCACTCAGTGTTAGACAATTTGAGTTAAATATCAATTAGAGTAATAAGTTGTAAAATAAGATAATGGGTTATAGAACCCCACCAATAGTTGAAAATTGTCTTCTTTTGTTATGAAAATCACTATATAAATAGTGACCTAGGTTTATTTCATACTCATTTGTATAGAGGATGAAGTAATCTGTCCTCTTATGTAAAGCAACTTTCACTGTTTTGTTTAAGATCCAATAGTTTACATTTCCTAACTCGTCTATGCATCAAACACAAATTTGTTTATAAAGAATTTTGAATGTAATATCTTAGAGAGATTATCTTTCGTCAGCCTTATTTCGAACCATATATATAAGTTTACTATAAAAAATTTTTAATCACAGGTGTATTACTAAATATTAATGTGACAAAAATAAATGAATATAAATAGTCAATAACAATGCCCAACAATCATAATATCGAAATTGAAAACGGTGCTTACCGAAGCTACTCCCATCTTCCGACGTAGGTTGTAAATCTTAAAATGAATTATGCCACACCTCCTTATACCCTTAAACTTATTTCAGATACTCCGCCCACTCATTAACGAATATGACCATTTGGGTTTGAGCTTATCGATTCACCAATCAGTAGGACAGGAAACAAAAAATTTTCTTATCGTTCATTGGATTATATTTTCAATTCATGATACACACCCTATTTGGCTTTCACTGATTGGTTAATAAAATGCTGTCAAGACACTATAGAAAAAGCTTGTTTTTTTAAAGCTATCTTCCTTCATTTTGCAGAGTTCAAATGAACATAGAATAATGTTCAGATCATTATGTAAAAAAAAACAAAATTCATGACTGTGGGTGTGTCTGGAAACGCATCAGTTATAATTGAAATACTAACTGAATACTCCTACGTGATACAGCAGTCGTATACTATCGGTTGAAGTTACGTACTTTTGAATAAGATTTCTAGTCACATTTCTTGTAAAAATTTATTTCACTAAACTAATTGAGCATTACTTATACAAATAAAAACAACACAGCTAGTATCCTAATTAATGTGGACTATCAAAATATCGTGAACTGATGTTAGTTAATTGTATATTTCAATGTATTTCAATGTCTTTCTATTAAGTCATATGAAGTTGAATAATAATTTTTTGTTTCAATGAACTTAGATTCCCCTTAGATATCTATTGAAAGTTATCAAAACATTCAGAAGAATTTACTGAAACTATAGTTGAAATGTTTATCGGTATAGGAGGGATGTGATCAAGCTATAGAAGGGGATAATCAGAACGATGTTCTTCATTTTAAAAAAAATATTGTAACGGATTAATATTTAATTTAACCATGCACTGAGAAAAATCATTGATGTAGTTCATGAATCTCATCGACCTAACGAAATATGACTGGCAAATCTCTACTAGAATATTCAGGCATTTGAATTGTCTTAAGCCACAGACTAGAGAAATCGTAAAAAAGACATGGTTATTTTTCTTGGGTTTATTCAAAAATGTGACTCTTGATAATAGTTAAATTATATTTGTACTGACATCTATGGTTTCAATTTGCTCAATATAAATTATAATAGACTTATTCTGAAGACTAATTAAAGAATTTATTATGATAGTTTCTATGTCGACACTAAACAGAAGCCTCATATGAACAAAGAAAAAGTAGAGTTTGACCATGTAGAAAATCAGGTGGTTGTTCTTCATGACAATAGATGATCGTTAAGCTATCATGAATCAGATCAAGTTAGAAACATGGATCACTAAATACATATATTAATAGCTGAAAAATATTATTCTCTACTAGAGGCCTAGTGTTTTTTTCATGATAGATGTTTGGGAGTGTTCTGTTGTGAATTACTAAACTAAAATAAGTGTACGATTAATAATCCCTTTTCTCAATTTTTATTTCTCTGTGGTGTGAACTTTCTACAAATATAACACACTACAACTGGTACCATATCGAATGGTTAATCTAAAACGAAAGAATATTATGCATTTTTATTTTTCACAAGTTTATGGAACGTGTAGATTCTGAACATTCAAAACATGACCTTATCTCGGAAATTCATAACAAAGATGGGTAATTATCTTAAGGTCAAATTTATGTATAATATATTAACGTCTGAAATGACGTGCCATAGGATGTTTGACTTAGTAATAACATGATTTAAAAAACATAACTGTCAATAATAATGCTAAACGTTTACACAACTATTTGATGTTAAGTAAGCAGCATGATTGAGTTTATAATTATTCACAATATATGTCAATCTTTTGTAGAGTAGACGACTATTATGCAAGTGTATGAAAATCTTAATTATCTTGAATAGATTGACGTATAGTTTAACGACTAATGTAAACCGGTTAGTTGAGAACAGTTTATAGATAAAAAGGATTGAAATCAGTTATCTACTCTATGAATGTGAACAATATGGAAAAGAAATAAATTGCTATCAATAACAGCTTATCAAAAAAAAATTTTTAACTTAAACTTAGTGCATATGATCGTGTTAGTGTCATATATCATATATTGCAGAGGCTGTTATTAGTGTTCTGGACTTAACTAGCTGGGCTAGGCAGAAAGCAGGACTGACAAGTACTCAAGACTGCTCATATGGCTTTTTGTGTATCATTGCTCCGGTCGATAATTCGCTCTTCTCTCATTGGCGGGAATCAGCATGTTCACATATCAAGCAGGGCACGCACACACTTAATCGATCGAACAACTAGCGGTATTATTACGTCATATATATCAATTGGGCACGTACGCACGCACTCACACGATATAACAGTTAGAGTGGGAGACTGAACAGATCAACTATGAATAAGCTATGCACAGGTTTCTGATTTTGATTCATTCTTGAAGCCAGTTGACTTAATTTTGTAGATTAGATTTTCAAGAATTACAATGTTGGAAGTTTATTAACTAGTACACTTGGTTCGGTCAGTGAAGTTTGGTCCATAAGAATTAATATAAACGATGTACACTACATCGTACATGTACGATGAACACTACATATTTAAAATACCGATTATTTGATAGAAAATTCAATTGGTAAAACACTGCACAATCTACAGAAAGCTCACTTCAGTAAGTTACTGATATAAATGACCATCTTATTAATTAGTATATATTGGTTGTTTGAATCCTATCACTGATGTTTAGAGTTGTAATCAATCATTCTACTATTGGCATATGTACATATTTTTCGGATTGCCTCGATGATGTTAATATTTCTCAAGCATTTTAAGGAAGAAATGGTTGGTTCTAAGCTGTGGAATCAAGGACACGAGTTTCTGACTATTTCGGACTCGTCAACTGGATATACTTGCATCTCACAGTTGACATTCACTCCAGGGTTCGAACCTGGTGTCATTCACCTTAAAAGCTACCGTGCTATCCACTTTGATACTGAGTTCAGATAATAACTAACTTGTACAATGGGGTGAAGTTTAAATCATCTTTGTGTTAGTCTTTCTAATCTTCTCATTGATATTTAGGACTGTATTCGTGGGCGAACGGTACCGGATTCGAGATCTGGAGTGAATATAAACTCGAAGATCCAAGTACATCCAGGTGACTAGTCACAAATAGGACGAAGCGCTCATCCTTAATACCATTGCCAGCCATCGTCCTTTTCCAATAAGGAAATTATGTTGGTTGCACCAGCCGGATTGTGTAAGAAGCGTTAAGGTTATCCCATAATGTTTTATCGTTTCCAAATGGAAATACTGTCGAAATGAACCTCGAAAATACCCGTTATATTAGCCGACAGTTTTAAAATATGAGCACTATTCTAATGTTCTTGTCCCAAAAAACTATTGTGATACGGATGGACGCAGCCTATAAATTTAGTGAAGAATGTATGGAAAAATAATCTTTGCTAGAGCTGTAGAATACAATAAATTTTCTCCATTGTTCAGAAACATTAGTGAGTTAGAAAGTATCGGTCATTGACACCACTCCATATTTTGCTACCGATGCGATGTTGGAAGCAACTTTGAAGTAGGAACATTTTGGTAGTATAGGTATTTCCCCATGTAAAAGACGTTTCGACTTTTAGTATCCTGATGTTACTTGCTTATCGAGTGATGAGGTAACGGCTGATCAAATATGATTTAGTTGAAAATTAATCAATCAAATTATAGAGTTTATTTAAAACAATAAAAAGAAAGCCACTTTTCAAAGCATAGAGAGGTTTGTGACTGTACTCCCTAGTGATTGTAAATTATTAAAAATATTTTTATAGTCTTTGTAATTTGATAATTTTATGGCTATTGTACGGCAAGTAAGAACAAAAATCAATGACAAAAATAAATCTTCCTGCTTTGAACACAGTACAATAACAGTGTTAGTCTATTCATAGTTAGTTGTGTTGAAATTGTTTCGATGCAGCTAGTACTATTCGATGGTTATAAAATCTAATATTTAAAATCGACAATATTTAGTAACTCCTAATTTCTGATTTTTGAATTGGATTATTAATCGATATTTGATAGACGTTAGATATTATTATTATTATTATATATCTGTGTCGAGTAGAGACAGATATCCACCACAGACAATGGATGGATGGTTGATCAAGATCATGGATCGATTGTAGTCAGACAATAACACTGTTGGATATCGACTCAGTGGTCTAGAGATTAAACGTTCGAGAGCAACACAGAAGATCCTGAATTCGAGTCCAGCTAGCGGGATCGTGAGTGCGCACTGCTGAAGAGTCCTATACTAGAACGAAATGGCTATCCATTGCTTCCAGGTTTTTAATGGTTGTCTAGCTTAAATCGACTCATCAATTCAACCATTAAAAATATTATATTTTTATTATTCATTAATACGATTGACAATACTAACAAATGAAATTTAAATTTTCATTGATTAGTTGTTAGTTAGATGTAAACAACCAATAAAAGCAGTCATTAAAGGTTACCGTAATATTGATAAGTTCATGATAGATTGTTGAATCTACAATTAATGGAACAATTGTTGAAAGCTCACATGATATATTAGCTGAGTTATTGGTACATATTGAAAGAAAGGATTTAATTTAGCATTATGGATTCAATATGAAATGAAAGTGTATTTATAATTACATGTTATGATAGTCCAGTGTATAAACCCCAATTGTCACTTCTGATATGAAGTTAACTTTGTCTAAATGTGTCATCGGTTAAAGTAAAACTTTAATTCAGCTGTAATCATCTATTGAGGACGTTAGATTTCCAGAACTCTCTTGGAAAAGGTCTCAAATTTGTAATTTTATTCTGAAATTTGAATTTTATGATTTTGCGCCAAGACACGTTTAGTCGACCTACAGGTTACATTTCCCACTCTAAAATCATTGACTATTATTAGTTGACGGACTTTTTTAGTATGCTATTTTGTGGCTTTCCCAAGGGCATTTCTACCATTGTACAAATAAGCTTGATTTGTGTGTTTAGTGACCTCGTATTTTGTGGGTGCTTGTAAAATACATTCTCTACGCCTCATCAGGACTTTTTGATCTAGTTAAAAAGGCCAGGGAGAACGGATTAGAATAGCCTATCGTGTCACTGTGTCTTTGAACTTCGTACCGTTTATCGAGTAAGGTGAACTCGTAATAACATCAAGAATATCATCATCACCCCAGAGATGACATGATTGTATTAATAAGTAATGTACTGAATATTCGGTAAATATTGTTCTTTATGGTATTAACTTTTACTATACAGACCTAATCTGGTGG